ATTGAAGCACACACCCAAGAGCCTTTTTGTTTAGAATTTTATTTTTATGTACAGAAAAACTGACACATCTACCCAAGCTTGGTGGCCAGTTCCTTAGCCTTTGCCTTTTCAAGTTTAGCAATCCGAGCGACAGATTTGGGACCCAGGACATTTCCACCCCAGTGACGACGGATCTGGAAAGGGAAAAGCAACATCTGTTTGAAAGCAGGAAGAAAAATGTTGATTCTGCCGTAGTGAAATGAGAGTTATCTTTCCAAATCATTGTGTACTGCAGTAACTCAGAAGCTAACAATTAATAGTGAGTAACATATAATCTACGTCAAGCTCCTTAAGAGGCCCGTGGACTATGTTTTCGCAAGCCAAACCAAACCAAACACCGGATAGCAGTCTTACCTCATCGTATCTCTCATTGTAGTTGGTCTTAACAGCTTCCACCAGTTTAGCCAAGGCTCCTTTGTCCTCACTGCACAGAAAAAGAGGGAGGGTCAAGGTCACCATTTCAACATGAAAGTTGCATAACAGACAGTCCTCTACTTATAACCATTCACTTTAGTCACTGTTCCAAGTTACTGGAACAGCACTGGGACCTATTGCCATTTTTCACAGGGCCATTGCAGCACTGCCATGATCAAAATCGAGATATTTGGCAACCGACTCATATTTACGATGGTCGCAGTGTCCCAGGGGGGGGGGGAGGAGTCCAGCTGCTCTCCTAACGGGCCTCCAATCCACAAGTCTTATGATCTTCTAGCAGCTACTGAAAGAATTGCTGCTCAGCTGGCATCTGAACCAAGTCCCCATTAGATCTGCCGCGTGCAGAGGCGGGCAGGACCCCCACTCAAAGCTCCCTTAAGAGCTACTTACGGATTAACCTGTGTGAAGGCCACGCAAGTACAGGTTTTCCGGTGGACGAGGCGACCCAGCCTGGCTTTGCCTTTGATGATGCAATAAGGGACTCCCATTTTCCGGCACAAGGCGGGCAGGAAAACCACCAGCTGCAGCAGGGCGAAGGAAACCCATCTTTAATTAGGGGACCCTGCGGCACCTCGACCAGAGGGTGGGGGACACCCAGGCAGTGGCGATCGCTCAGTGTTAAAAAGCTCGTTTAGTTTTGCTCTCCACGGGGGAGTCAGGTGAAGAAATTCAAACATCACTGCAATCGCCGAGCCCCAGCAAATCCCAAAAGGATTGCTTTGCAACAACAGCCACTTCTGGCTTTTTTTGCCCCCAAGATAACCAAGAGAGTCACTCTATGAAAGCACAAGAGTGATGCAAAGCAGCCGTTTCTCCAGAGCCAAGAAATTAAGATCAACACTAGGCAACCGAGAAAGCAGATCTCCGTTTCATTATTTCCTGCATTTTCCCCAGTCTACTTAGGATACCAGGCTAGCCTGCATCCTACAAATTTAGAGGAAAGGGGAAAAAAAAAGAAAATATTGACTGGAGTGATGTGCTGCTTATTCCTGCCTGCGAGCCAAAGGTTTATTTTGAAATCCGTGGCTTCTTTACCCCAAAGCCTGGGAATTTGGGACTCAACCGCTCTCTAGCACAAAATTTGAAAATACGAAAGGACAAAGTCTTCTCCATCTGCTTACCTCAATGGGGTCTACGTCGTGTGCGATCACCACCAGCTGAGCCTTCTTGTTCTCCACCAAGGTTGTGACTGTGTTGACCCCTGAATGGAAAAATCAGTAAAACTTAATTTGCAGCATTCACTAAGCTGGACCGTACATGACGCACACGAGGATTAAGACAACCTGCTAAAGCTCAGACTAACCCTAAATTCGGTCTTCATTCAGCAGTTCAGGCTAAGAAATTCTCACATCACCGCAACAGCTGGTTGTCAAGACAAACCCCCAGAAGGCTGTTCCTTTCTAGCGAACCAAGCTTAGGAACGCCACGCAGAGATGCTCCAAAGTTTACCTGCTCTCAGCACAGGCGGCCTTTTGGTTGGCACGTCGCCCTTCCCCCCGGCTTTCTGCTCTGCCCGAGCCAACAATCTCTGTTTTTTCTCTTGCTTGGTCTCAGGCCTGTATTTGTGAGCCAGCTTCAGAAGCTGAGTCGCTGCAGGAGAAAGACATTGAATTAGAACTGGAGGATTTATTCACCAGCTCCTAACTGAATAGAGGATCCTTGTGCATCAGCGATCTTGGTGGTTGGGAGTCATCAAGAAACTCAGATTATTTGCTTCCATCATCTGCACATTAGAGGAAAACTTTTTTTTCCTCCCGTCTCCTCCAGGCTAAACCCGAAAGAGGGTTCCCTTCCTCCCGTCTTTTCATATACCCCACATTATTTTGAATCTAGCCAGCAAATTCATACAGAAATCAAATTTTTATTGACACTACACTCTGAATTGACAATTGAGCACCAAAAATTACTTTCTGAGCAATGAAATGCACGCTGTAAGTTCAAATACAGCTATATAAAGGGGGGGGGGAGAGATTCAAGCAAGCTGTTGACCATCTCCATTTCAACCTCCCTCTAAGACTGCAAGACGTCCTCAGCTTACGACCGGAGCAGTCAACAGCCATTAAGACAAACCTCCCCAAAGCTACTTCAAAATTTCAGAGCCCCCCTCCTCCCATAATCGCAGTCACCTGGCAAACTGGTTAACAACCTGGAGAAGTTAATGGATGTAACTTCAAATTCAATTCTGATCATAGCTACCTGCAGACAGGAAGACCCATATTTGTTTTTCACTTGTAGCCCTGAATTTTGCAAGCATTAAGATATGTCCTTCCTTCTGTAATTAAACAGAAAAAAAAATCACCATTTACCCGTCTGGCGGTCCAGGGCTTGGGTGAACTGGTTCACTGCCGGGGGCACCTTCAACCTTTTGTAAAGGATGGCCCGCTGGCGCTGGAGTCGGATGTAGCGAGGCCATTTCACAAAGCGGGTCAAGTCTCGTTTGGGCTGGATATCCTGGCCTGAAAGATACAGCATTAAACTCAAGAGGATTGTTTTGCAAGCAGGCGTTCTCCCTCCAAAACCCAAAGGGGCAATAGCATCAGAGATCTTGGTGGGTAAGCTTGTCAGCACTGCCACTCAGTTAGCAAATATTCTTCTCCATCATTTGCTTGCACCCTTTTCACAACAGTTAACTTCAAGAGTTGTTCGATGAGTGACATATACATGTCATAAACCAACTTCCCCCAAAAGACCGATCAGCCACCACCCAAAAGACCAGGTTCTCCTCAATCTATATGTATTTCTGTATTCCTGTTTGTTTTCTATGCCAACTTTTCAATGAACTATCAAAGCTTGTTATTTTGTTATTCAGCAACAGCAAAAAAGAATAAACGGGTTCCACGAAGAACCAAGGGCAACAATTAAGTTTTCTAATATACAATGAAAGTGTGGTCTCCCTAACCGTAGGAGGCTCATCCCAACAGCTTTAATACAGTTGAAGCAGGGCAATTTCTCCAGAATGTTAAAATCCAGTAATAAATCTCCCCGATAATTTGATTCCAACCCATTCAGGGCTTTGAGCACTTTGAAAATGACTTGAAAACTAACTAGCAGTCAACATACGGCTTTCAGCCCAGGATGTATACAACCAACGCCATCTGTTTCAATGCCTTGCTCCAAAGGGCTTTTGAGGGAAGGTCCCTTAAGTGACCGTAAGCATCACAGGAGTTTTCTTTTTAAGCTGGAACGGCTAATATTTTCTTTTAACAGTTTTCGAAGAAAGTGGCACAGTATCAGTATTCTCCAAATGGAACTATCTCCGTATTTGTCCAAAGACCGAATAAACTGCAAGAAAACAACCAAGCTCAGAAGACCCCAGGACTCCAAACCAAATAAATTATGAAAACATTCTTGATGCAAAGCAATTTTTCTTCCCATTCGCTGCATGATTAGCAAGAAAGGAAAGGCCCACGTTCCCATCATCCACGTCCTCCTTCCCAACTCACCAATGCCAAAGTTTTTGGGCCTCTTCTCAAAGAGTGGGTTGACCACCTTCTTGGCCTCCTGCTTCTTGACCACCGCAGGGGCTGGAGCCACCTTCTTTCCTTTGGCCTTCTTTCCCTTCGGCTGCAAAGATGGAAGCACAAGTTAAACCAGGATCGCTCAAGCCACCCCTCTTCAGATCTACAAAGGCCCCATCTCCTATATTCACCTTTTCCTAAGCTTTTGACGACTTCCCAAATGGCTGTTCCCAAAGCTGGTGACTAGACTAGGCGCCGGATTAGAACTCCCAACATCCCAACCAGGTGCGAATCCACTTACTTACAAATATCCATTTTAACTATCTATTAATGCCCTAGACTAGCATAAATAGTAAGTCTCCTCCAAATTAAGGCTTCCGTTGCTCTCAATCAGGGATCTCCAAACTTGGCGACTTGGAAGACTTGCGGATTTAACTCCCTGAATTCCCTAGCCCGCATGGCAGGACTAGGCTTGCTGGGGAATTCTGGGAGTTGCAGTCCTCAAACCTTAAAAAAGGTGTCCAATTTGAAGATCCCTGGTACTCTAATTCAGGGGGATCTCCAACCTTGGCAGCATCGAAACGAAGTGGACTTCAATTCCCAGAATTCCTCAGCCAGCAAGGCCTAAGTCATTGCTCTGCTTCCCGATCGGCATGACTGATATGCCTGGAGCATCGAGGCCGAAGCTCCAGCCCAGCACCGGCTTCCCATTAATTTTTCCCTCCCGATAAAAGCTGACTCCGGTTCGGTGGGGTTCCTGGCCTCCTGGGGCGCGGTGAAGCCCCCCGAGTCGGGCCTCCGATGGCCAGATGGCGCCGGATTAGAAGATCCGGTAAACCCAACCCGTCGCTGGGACTCACCATCTTGGCTGGAGGAAGAAAAAGAGAGAACGGTGCCTTCTGGGTAGTATATCGCAGTCACGCTGGTTCTCGCGAGAGGTGGACGCTAAACCACGCGGAAAGTTGCGGAAGAGGAAGACCGATCCGTTTTTTTTTTTCCAGCCGACTTTCACCATAGAGACGACAAGCGACCATCCGGCTTCTGCATGCTCCTAGAGAGTCCTCGTGTCCAAGGCCTGCCGATACAACAGGAAGAGAGTCTCCTTCCTCGAACAGCCAATCATCTTTCAGGATGGGTTAATTCGGCCAATCGTGAGAAAGCTCCCTTTTCGGATGAGAAATGCTTGCTTAAGGAGCGGAAGTAAGAAGGGTGGATGTTGATAAGGTGAGAACATGGATTTTTTAAAAAAATAATTGCATTGCTGTCTCAAATCACTTTGGCAATACTTTGTCTCTGGTCTTTTAAATGTGTGGAGCAAGGCTCTAGTCCTCATTAGCCTTATTCTCACGGTGCCCCCCTTCATGGTTAATGGAGGCTATATTTGGGGGGGGTGTGGGATTTGCATTACACTCTGAACTCTGAATTAGCTACGTGACCAGCCAATAGGTTAAAATGGAAGTGGTTCATTGTGTAGTGTGAAAGCAGCTTTTCTTCCACTTCCGTCTCTTGTTTAGTTAAATAAATTTGGAACATACCGTTTTCTGTGATTTGGTTTTCAGCTCCTCAATTTTGATAGATCTGTCTATCAATCAATCAAATCGTCTATTTGTCTACATACACGTTAGAAACACAGACAGACAACTCTGAAAACTGAAATGCAATGTTTATGGGCAATATTTCATTTTTTAAAAAAACAACAACATGGTTTTCAGATTTTGATTTTTAAGGCATTTTTCTTTGAATCCCGGGACTTTGTAATTTGTGATGCCATTTCTTGGTCCCTTCCTTTCCCAGCCATGTCGCAACAAAGGGTCCTACCCCAGAGCAAAGAGACTCTTCTCCAGTCCTATAACAAGAGATTGAAAGATGATGTCAAATCCATCATGGACAACTTTACGGAAATCATTAAATCTGCAAAGGTAGATATCTGGGAAGAGACCCTTCTTCCCAACCTCCCAATTCTTCAGACCTAAACTTTGGCTCATTATAAGCCTCCGTGGTTTCTTTGCCATATTCCTCATGCTTTGAAAATGTCTAGTGAGCAAACAACATTACATAGTGCAAACAAACAGAAAAGCTGATTTTATTAGCAGAGGGGGAAATTCTTGACAGCTTTTTAAAGGGCCAGAACATTGACTTTCATAGCAGAAGGAATAAAATGATTTCCTGGAAATCAAGCAAAGTACAAGTAACCCTTGACTTAAGGAAGTCATAAGTGTGAGGACTGGTTGTTGATCACTTCTTCCAGTGGCGTAACTTTGGTTGCTCAAATAGTTGTAAGTCAAGGAGTATGTGTAGACATTTGTTGTGCGGGAAGATAGCCTGCATTTTGAGATGAAGCTATCCGCTTGGACAAGGGAACAGTCTCATTGCGGTTCACAAAGCAAGTGGTTTTATCTTTGGGTATCAGGAAAACACCCAGATTCTTGGATTTTGTCCCTGCTTCCTTTTTCAGATTGAAGAAGAAACACAAGTGTCGCGTGCAACGCAAGGCGAACAGGACAACTACGAGATGCACGTCAGAGCAGCAAATATTGTGAGTGGGCTGGATCTGAGAGTTCTCCAGCCGAAGGTTGCTTTGTGATGCCTGCCTTTCATTAAGTTAACTTTATTTATGCACATTATTGATAAATAACTAGATAAAGTAAACTGAGTTAATTTCATTAACGAGCTGAGCCTGCCAACCGCCCTCACAAACTGGGTTTTAATTCGGTCCCACCAGAAAATGGGAAGGAAATAATCCATGACCGAAATTGCTAATCACTCTGATAAAATTTGGCCATGTTTTCAAACTCATGGTTCCGGGAGGCGTGAGGAGTATCAAAAATGATGAGTACCAAAGAAAATTTTTCCCAGGAGGAATAATGTAGTGAGTCACAAAGGCAGCCGACACCGACAAGTTCTTAGCTTGTCTGTTGAATATCAAACAATAAGAACCGAGAGAAAAAAATGTTTGTAGCAAAATGAGTTGAGTGCCAAATTGGATGGGTTTCAAAGCAGTTTTGAGGACCCAGGTGCCATTGTATATGCCTTTTTCCATCAGGTCCGAGCTGGTGAGTCCCTCATGAAGCTGGTGTCGGATCTGAAGCAATTCTTAATCCTTAATGATTTTCCCTCAGTCAACGAAGCCATCAACCAACGCAATCAACAACTGCGGGCTCTCCAAGAGGAATGCGACAAGAAACTGATTGCGCTGCGGGATGAAATCTCCGTTGACCTCTACGAACTGGAAGAGGAATATTACTCTTCCAGGTACAAATAAAATCCACGGAGAAGCTTTTATAACCACACCGTGGCCTCTTTTTTTGACCCTGGAGACAGAGGCTGCGCTCCGAGACTTCTTGAAACTGATTTTTTAAAAAAAAAAACTGTTATTTTAATATTTCCAGGGTGGTTCTGGCCATCCTGAAAAAAAAAATCAAGCTACTTCTGTTTCCTTGTTTGCAATTCCCATGCAACTTCTAAGAAAGGAAACACTGCATGACAATCTTGCAGTTTTGTATTTAAAAGGTTCCCCCCTCCCCCCCTCGGTCTGAAATAAGCCAGATCTTATTTTATTTAAACGTTTGATGATATTCTTGGTGTTTTTTTTTTTTCCCGTATATCTCTAATAGTATATGAGGATCCCCTAAATGAATGCTGCAGCTTTATTACAAATAAAACTGTGGTGGGAAGAAAAAAAAAGATAAATGTCAACTTTGGGCTGGTTTTTATTTTATTTATTATTTATTTGTTTTATATAGATCTATATATATATTGAACCCACAGCTTGTTTGAGAATCGCCTTATTTCTCCTGCTGTCTCTTATTGCTTAGCTTTGCCTCTTTTCGTAACCTGTCTGCCTTCTTTTTGCAATTTCTGCTGACTTCTGAGCAGGGCTTCTGGAGAAGAGAAGGAAGAAGGTGGGGGAGGATTTAGGAGATTTACCCCCCCCCCTACAAAATACAAAATAGTCCTCGACGGCCACATTTAAGCCCAACGTTTCTGTTGCTAAGTGAAACATTTGTTCAGTGAGCTTTGCCCCCATTTTACGACTTCTCTCGCCACGTTTGTTAAGTGAACACCTGCAGTTTTTTAAATCAGTCGCCTGGCTGTTAATTGAATCTGGTTTCCCCAATGACTGTGATTGTTGGAAAGTCACAAAAGGTGATCACATGACCCTGGGACACACTGTGAGGCAATTGCTAAATTGTGATTATGCCACCACGCGGGAGGGGGATGCTGTAAATGCTAAAAACAGCCATCACTTTTTTGCAGTGCCGTTTGTCGAACAGTCACTAAATCACCCGTTGTAAGTCAAGGACTTACCCCTAGGATATATATATATATGTATATGTATATATATATTTTTCTAAAGAGCCGCAGGCCAAACCCTGGTTCTGAAAAGGGAACACCCCCCCATCCCAATTTGTTGCTACTGCCTTCTGAAACATGTTGCTGTGTTTGTAACACCTTTGCTTCTTTCTTGCTTCCTTCCTTCCTTCTTCCCCCTTTCCCTCCGGCCTCTGTCTCCCTTTCCTTGACGCTCCTCGCTGCCTTAACCGGCTTCTCGTTCCGCCAAGCTACGGCGTCTGCGATGCCGCCAATCTCTCTCTTTCCGAAGCCTACTGGGGACAGGAACCCACGGGGTCAACTCTGGAAAATCTCGTCACCGCCTCCGTGGCTGCCGCCACCGCCGGCACGATGGAGCAGAATCTTCCCAGCGCACAGGGCTCGGTCCCTTTGCATCCGCACATCAACGGGCACGGAGTGGGTGCTCCCGAGCACCCCTAAAAGGGATCCCCTGCTTGCATGCAGGCGGCACTGGAACAATAAACTTGAGCAACAGAAACTTTGATCGTAAGATGAGGAATACCTTGTATTGCATAGGAAACATGCTGGGTGTCTTCGCTGGGCATTATAGGCAGCCCTTGACTTATAACAGTTCATTTAGTGACCAAACTTAACAACGGCGCTGGAAAAAAAGGGACGTATGCTTGTTTTTCACACACAACAGTTGCCGCATCCCTATCTAAATTTGGATGCTTGGAATCTGATTCATATTTGTGACCATTGAGCATCTCTGGTTTTTTGTTTTTTTTAAACCCCCCTTTGCTACCTTTTCATGAACAAAATCAGTGGGGAAGTTAACAACACTGGCAAGAAAGATCGTATGATGGGGCAAAGCTCCGTGAGCCACTGTCTTCCTTAGCGACAGAATTTTGGCCTCAGTCATCGTAAGTTGAGGACAACATATATAAAAGCTGTCTCCCTCTCGTTTGTGGTTGCAACACAGCTTTGATGTTCTGGAAAAAAAAAATTTCCTAAGAGAAGATATTTAACATCACAATTCAGACATTTGTTTAAGGAGATGCTCAGACTAGGAAAATGACTGGTGTGTTGTTACGAAGTCTGTTTTTCTGGGACTCTGAGAAAAACATCAGGTCTCCAAATACTGTTGAGTTACAAATCCCCAAAAATCCAGCCAGTGAGGTTTAAGGTACCAGTGACAGTAAGAAGCCCACAACTTTTCCACTAGACCTGAGATGTGATTTCAAAAATCAGGTAACCTTAGACATTTACCTGTTGGACATGTGAAAGATTTATCTGTTAATGGTAAAATTTATTGTTTCTTTTTTAAGCGTATGCTTTTCCTTACTGTACGAGGTTGTTGAAATAAAGGTAGCTGAGTTTAGTAGTGCCCAAGTTCTTTCCAGCACAAAGACATGAACCTGGAGAGTATCTGTGTCGAAAGACTTGTCGCTAAACTGAACTCAGATGTTTCAAAGGACGTCACAAAACTGAATGGCAAAAATAAGACGTTTGTTTTGATGGGAGAGTTTATGCACTGAACTGCAGAATTAAGACCGATGTTGGAAAGAATGTCACAGCCCGAAGAGCAAAATAAGACACAAATTTATTTTGCTGGGTTAATTTACGTTATAGTGTTCTAGTGAGTCAGTTGCAGAGGGCAGATCATTTTTACATCTTCCAAAAATGTGCTTTAATGATCAGATTGGTGCAAAGCTATTGTCTTAAGTTCACAGGATGCCCTATCCTCAAAAACTAAGAATATAGGTGAAGCCTGTACTAAAATGCTGGCTGCTTTGTGGTTTGCTTCATTAGTTAAAAAAAAAAAGAGCCCTGAGTCAAAACTAGCATCGAGGACGAGATCCCGAGCTAGATGCGAGCTTATTTATCTTCTGCTATTATTTCTCTTAAGTTTATGGAAAGGACTGGAGCTGTTTAAAGTACAACGCTCCAATACCACAACGAAGTAGGATGGGGACTCTGCTTAGCCCGGTTCTCTGGGCTGAAGACCCGATTTTTTCCATTTTTTGGAGGGGACAGGGAAAAAAAAACACGCATCTGGGCAACGAGAAGCCGTGGAGATGCGCTCAACCGCGATCCCAGGGAAGCGCGCAGCAGCAGCAAAACCACGTGCGCAAAGCTTCCTCCTCTTCGCCCCGCCCCTTCCTTCCTTTTGACCCACCCCTCCGCCATCCCAGAATATTCCCAGGCTGCAGCAATCGAGCCCCGATCTGGTTGCAAAGAGATCGGGTGCATCGATTAGCAAGCCTACCTCTCTAGCCACGTGGGTGAAAAGCTGGCTGAGCGCGCCTTGCTTTGCGCGCAGGGATTTCCTTTTGCGCATCGTTTGTGCCCCCCCCCCGATCCTGAGCCCGCTCCGGACACCCTCCTCTCTCCCCCCCCACCAGGTAATGGATTTTCTTTCCCCAGCCCCCGAAGACTCTTAGCTCAGGAAGTTTGGGGCTTTGGCTTGCTAACTGCTAACTATCAACTTTGCCCTCTTTCCCAATTCTGCAAAAGGGAAGCTAAGAGAGAGGATGCAAAATTCTTTTTCACCCTTTCATCTATTTTCCTACTTACTTCCTTCCTTCTTCCTCCTCCCTCCCTCTTTCTATCTATCAAGTGATTGATTCTAGGAAGCATAGAACATGATAAAAACGACAAGAGAAAACATCAGACAATAGATGTTAACATTCATCTAAGTTGGCCTTAAGTCTTAAAAATATTTATCAATTGAATCTTCCCTCTGCATTTTAAAAAATACTTTATGGCTTTGCACTGTTCATCCGTTGTTGGTTTTTTTTTTCTTTGCACAGGATTTCATCTCAGTGGCAAAACAGATGAAGGGCCAAACGGCGATGTGAAACCCCCATCATTTCAGTGGTGTTTTTCCTCTGGAGAAAACCTGGTTTGATCTTGGTTGGGCATTGCTCTAAAATGGCCAGCTTAGTTGCTACGGACTCTTACTTGCAAATGGTGGCAAAGAAGATTTGCACCCAGGAAGTCTATGAGCCACCAAAAAGGAAGTTTGGTACGATGATTAATTACACCAATTTAGCTCACTGCTATATAATGGAATCTAGAAGAGTCACGTCCTGACTTTATTTATGGATTAAATTTATATGCCTCCCATCTTGCTGTTCAGTGACTCTGGGCGTTCGAAGGAAAGTTCTGATAGAACAGTAAAGTTGCTATTTTTAAAAGGATCGGGCAGAGGACTAGCGGATTAGGCAACCCTTATTTTTTCTCAGAGATTAAAGTCTTTTAAAGTTCAAGTTGCAGCTTTCTATGCAAAGCCACTGTGCTTTTTTCTTTCCCTATCGGATCATTTAATTAAATCTGAGACCTTCAAAATACTCACCTTAGAGCTTTGAAAAAGGATATTTTTTTCTAAAATGGGCAGGTGGGAGTGGTCAGACAATGGGAACTGATTTATCTTCATTTTCTCTCATTGAATGGGAAATCCAGACGGCCAGTTTTGTCTACTTGTTAAGACACCAGACTAGAAACTGGGAGATGGTAAGTTCTGGTCCCACCGTATCCATAAAAACCAGTTGGGGTGACCTTGGGCCAATCACTGGGAGACGGTGAGTTCTAGTCCCACCTAAGGCACGAAAAATAAATGGGTGATCTTGAGTCAGTTCCTCCCAGTCCAAACCACCTCACAGGATTGTTGTGCAGACAATAGGAGAAGGAAGGCGTATTAGATATATTAGCAGCCTTGAGCTATTTGTAAAAGTCGGTATAAATTAAATATGTAATAAATCCATTGGTCTGTTTTCAAAGGAGTGCCGGGAAGCAGGCTGAGGGACCAGAGCGCCCAGCCCAGGAAGAAGAAAAAGAAAGAAAGAAATCAGAAAAAGAAAAATACGGTGGGGGCTTCTGGGAGCAAATTCAGCCAAGCATCGCCAGCCAAACCAGCAAGTTCCAATGCTAAGGAGCCAGGCTCAGTTACTCCAATCACACCTGGTGCCAGTGGAGAGGAAAGAAATGGGAAAGAAACACCGGTAACACCTGGTGTTACAGGTAAGAATGTGAAAGAAGGGGAACTGAGCCAGTCTGATCTAAGGGTGAAGATGCTGATCTAGAAACCAGGAGACTGGCAATTCTAGCCTTAGGCAAGAAAACTGGCTATGTGACTTGGTCCAATCACCAGGAGACAGAGTTCTAGTTCATGTCTTGGGCATGAAAGCCAGCCCAACCCACCTCACAGGATTGTTGTGAAGTTGCACGGGTGGGCTATACTTTTTTATCTTTTTTTTTTTTAACGTACCCAGGGAGTAAAAAGACATCTGACCCGAATTTTGCAATGGATTTCTTGCGGCAGAGGCTACACAACAAAATTCAAGAAATATCTGGGAAGGTAAGATGGAAACATAAGTTTAAAAAAATTATCTTTGCAGGTCCAGGAGAAAACCAGTAGTATTTTCAATTTTACCTTCAGGCTTATATCACTTATCTGGCAATATAGCCATTGACCTCTGGACAGGTACTGCAATAATTCCATATATTTTCACACTCTCATGGGGAGTGTTTAAAATACAGATAGTCCTCAACTTACAATAGTTTGTTGTGTGATCGTCTTTTTGTTTGGAATTTCTGGAGTTACCACATTAGGGACAAGGTTGTCCACTTAAGTAGAGCAGATCAAAATGAATTTCTGGATTGTTCCCTGTTTCTTGCAGGCTGGTCCCCAGGCTCTGTCACCCACCGTGCTGGAGAAGCGTCAGCGAAGGAAATACGAACGAGAGCGAAAGAAACGCCGAAGGAAAGAGATCAAAATGAAGGAGAAATTAGAGAAGAAAACAGCAGAAGAGGCGTCGTCCATCATGGATTCGGAGACCCAGCAGGTGGAGAGCAAGGCTGACATCTTGTTTAACAAGGTGGAGGTCCACGCGGAAGAGGAGCTGAACAAAGTGAAGAAGAAGAGGGATAAAAGAAAATCCGTAAAAGGAAACATAACGCCACTGACCGGCAAGAATTATAAGCAGCTCTTGAACCGGCTAGAATCTCGGAAGACTAAGCTGGAAGAGTTGAAGGCCAAAGATGAGGAGAAAGCTAAGGAGCTGGAAACAAAGATGCAGTGGACAAATATTCTTTACAAGGCAGAAGGTGTCAAGATCCGTGATGACGAAGAGAAGCTGAAGGCTGCCCTGAAACGCAAGGAGAAGCGTAAGGCCCAGCGTCAGAGGAAATGGGAAAAGCGGACAGAGCAGGTAGTGGACAGAATGCAGCAGCGACAAGAGAAACGTCGCAAGAACATCCAGCAGAAGAAGGTGAACAGGATCGAGAAGAAGAAGGCTAAAGCTCGGAAGAAAGGCCGCATTCTTCCTGAAGATCTGAAGAAAGCTGGCTCTAAGTGAAACTGAGTTTTAACCCAATCTGGGTTTGAATGAATAGTGTGATGGATGTTAGAGAACCCACAAAAATCTTCCTTTGAGCTGATGGGACATGGAGATGATGCAACCAAGTCTGTTTGGGTCAAAGGACCTCAAACTTCTTTCTGAAGTCTCTCTACCCAAGTTGAGTCATTAGATTGCCTCTTTCCACACGCTGTCTATCAAATTATCCTTTCCTATTTTGGGGAGTGAGACTTGTTGTCCTGTTAAGTAGAATCATGGGGTGAGAGGATGGCATTTATCCTCTTAATGTTTGGAATAAATTAAAGGAAAGCAGGAATTATTAAATTTTCTATTCTAGTCTGCATTCTCAGCTTGTTTGTTGATTTGGTATACTGTTTGGTATAATACATGAAACTATAAATCAACCCAGTTGCCTGGATTTATACCACATGTTGAAATACAAACAAAAATGGACATTCAGTTTTGTAACTTCCTAGAATTTAAATGACCTGGTTAAACATATTACAGGATGTAAATTTTGTCAGGAACTGGCTTGGGGATAAATCTTTTGGTTACATTTCCTGGACATACAGGAAATGCATCCCTCAACTCAATCCTGTTTTCAGCAGTGGTCACTGAGACACACATCAGTTCCTCTATCCAAGCTTGATATGCCAAACGTGAAGCATCTTTGAATTCAAATAAACATATCTGGACACATTATAGAGCAGAACTAGAAGCCTGCTTAAATTACACACCTTTAACAGATGTTTTTGCAGTTCTTCTATATCTTATGAGAATCTGTGCTGGTGCAAGAAGTACCAGTGGGTGGCTATTCATTGAGCGATTTGATAGTCAATGCAAATACATATGAAGGAAATTTCTGCGCCCAAGTGTTGGCTTGGCCTTCAGTTGCATTTATATAAGGCCCTGGGTTTTTCAAAATTTTATAGAACCTTGGATTTGCCCCGTGCACTGAGTCATGAACAGAAAAATTAACATTACCCTGATATAGTATGTGATGCAAATAGTGGCTCTGGCTTGTTAGTGAGTACGCATGTGTTGTTTGCATTGGGCTGTGATAGGGCAGATCTTGCTTTTGTAGCAAAAATCGAAGGTAGGAGCTCTGGCAAATTTGGAATCGGCCCTCCCCAGCCTTAGTCTGGGGAATAATATGTTGTCAGCCCCATCCAATGGTAGGAGTGGTTTTCCTTGGACAACGTATGATCCAAAATGGATAAAATGCTGAATTTTTGGCATTTGGAGCAGGGAGGACAATAGTTACTAGGTGGTATGATGGACAGCCCATAAATTTTTATACATTTGTTTATTTATCCCTGGCATTATTGATTGTTGGCAGAAAAAGGACCAAGCGGGAGCCCAGAGCATCCTCGCACTCTTTTCTGTCTCCCCTAGCAACCGCGGCCGTCTCGAGGCAACGGCTTGCGAGAGGACCAAGAAGCCGGCTCGGGATTCTCGCGGGTTCTCGCGAGACGGGGGGGGGCCTCTCCGCCTCGCCTGGAGTTGTTGCCATGGAAACCGGAGACGCGGGGTTCGCGTGTTGGAGGTGGTCTTGGGGATGGTGGGTCGGCTTTGCCGGCTGAGGTGGGGGAGAGGCCGAAGGGTTGACGGGGGGAGGGGGGAAGGGCAGAAAAAATATTTTAATCCACTTTGTTTCTAACCCTGTTTACTTTCTTTTGCGGTTTCCTTCAGTTAAACCCGCCATGTGCAAGTCCAGCAAGAGTTCACACGTACTTCCCATCACCACTACGGTGGGGGTTGCACGGGTCCTCCCCAGCGGGAAGGTCTACAGGCAGATCTTCGATGACGAGGTGCAAAGACTGCAGGAGCCGAAAAGGGGAAACAATGGTTCCCACCCCCCCTCAGCTTTATGGCCTATTTGTGAAATTCCCTCTTATTTTTAGAGAATGGAGGCCTGAGGGATGGACTTATGTTTTATTTCCCCTCCCCTCAAAAAAAAAAAAAAAGGAATTAATGGGATTTGGAAGAAGTTTGCTTCCTCCTCCCTTTTTAGGAGGTTTAGCTGGAATTCCTTCCTTCTTTTCTTCCTTCCCTCCTTACACCTTCTTTCCTTCTTTCTTCCTCTCTGCGGGCCTTTGTTCCTACCCTTCCCTTTCTTTCTTCTGTTCTTTATCTTTTTTTCTGCATTTTATCCCTTCTTCCCTCCTCCCTTGCATTCTACAAATGCACACAATAGTACTAAGTATTCCTGTAATAAATATCCGTAATCTGCTTTTGAATTTAAGCAAATAAAACTGCACGCTTTAGCTGGAATTCCTTCCTTCCTTCCCTCCCTCCTTCCACCTTCTTTCCTTTTTTCTGCTTCCCTTCCTTCCTGTCTGTGGCCCTTTGTTCCTACCCCTCCCTTTCTTTCTTCTGTTCTTTATATGTATCTTTATTTCTTCCTTCACTTTATCCCTTCTTCCCTCCTCCCTTGCATTCTACAAATGCACACAATAGTACTAGGCACTTCTGCAATAGATATCTGTAACCTTCTGCTTTTGAATGTAAGCAAATAAAAACATTAAACATGTAAAACTGTAATGATACCCAGTATTTCTGTAGACCTAGCAAATCTAATCACCAAATTCCAGGATCAAAACTTCATTTTTATCTTTATCAAGCAAAAACGTCTCCATCCATCCAGAAAGAAAAATAGTTTTCTTTCTGGGTGGATTTTTTTATCTTTAATCATCTTTTTTATCTTTTTTTATCTTTAATCAAAGTGGCCCGTTGTGCCATTTTACTAGCCTTATCAATGTATTTTCTTTGTTTTCTTTTTTCCTTGTTTGTTCGATTATTTTGGTTTTGTTTTGTTTACATTTCCTTTTTACTTCTTTGTTTTTGTTTGTGGTTTGTGAGCTGCCTAGAGTATCCGCATGGCAAGACAGGTGGTAAATAAATATAATCATCCTCATTATCATCATCACAGCCAGTTCTATTTTTCTTCCTTTCTGTTTTGCTTTGTCAAGATCAACCTGGTGCACGCCCTGGGGAGAGCTAGGAGCAAGATCAGCAGGCACAAAGTCCTTCCAGGAAAGATTCCACTAGTGAGGAATTTGGAAAGAAGGACTAGCTATGGATTCTTGTCCGAACGCCAACAGACGTGGATCGAGGCAATGCCCAATGATCAGCTCACTGAAAATCCAGTGCAATACAAGTAAGGAAAGACAATACTAAACAGGTTGTTAAGTACAAGCAGTCCTCTCTATACAACAGTACATTGAGTGACCGTTGAAAGTCACAATGGCAATGAAAAAAAAAGTGGATTGCAACCCTTTTCCACACTTAGACCATTGCAGCCTCCCCCTGGTCATGTGATCAAAATTCGGACGCTTGGCAACTGACTCATATTTATAACGATCGAAGTGTCCCAGGGGTGTGTGTGTGTGTCATGTGATCCTCTTTTGCAACCTTCCGACAAGTTTTCCATTTTCTGTTGCAGGGAGGCTGTGACTCTGGCACACGTAAAGGCTAAAGAAAGCGAGAATGTAATTGCCGCGCGGGAAGTCAGAGGCCTTGCCGATGTCATCAGTAAATATTAACATTTTTAATTGTGGACATTGCTGTTTTGTGCTGAACTGAAACATCCATATTTGTTTATTTATTTAGTAATATCACTGCAAAACCCCAGTTTACATTTAGGAATATGGAAGAAGAGTCTTATGGGTTTTTTTTAAGATTTATTTTTATCGTGCCTTTATTATTTTTATAAATCACTCAAAGTAATGAAAGTACCTAATACTCTTTCCTCTTCCTATTTTCCTCACAACAGCAATGCTGTGAGGTGGGTTGGGCTGCAGGGGAGTGGCCCAAAGTCACCCAGCTGGCTTGCATGTCTAAGGCAGGACTAGAACTTACCATCTCCTGGGTATTGGCCCAAAGTCACCCAGTTGGCTTTCATGCATAAGGCAGGACTAGAACTCCTAGACTCCTAGTGCCTGACCCAAAGGCTTTTGTGCCTAAGGCTGGACTAGAACTCACCACTTCCTGGTTTCTAGCCTGGTGCCTTAACCACTACACCAAACTGCTTCTTGAATCTGACTCTTTTTCCCATTTTTGTGGCTGGTAAGAAGTTCAGGAAACAGCCCTTTCCCAAATCCAGCCTCTTATAATTAAACAAATAATTACACAAACCAGGGCTTTGTCCATTAGCAGGAGGAGCCTGATCCCTGTCTAAAATCCATCCTTCCAGTTTCAGAGAAAAGATCCAGCGGTATCGTGGAGCAGATCTACGAGAACAAAAAATTGTGTTACGAAGAAACCGTGGCACAATTCAGACAGGAACTAGCATGCGTCGGAAAGGTGAGGTGGCTGTTTTAAGCCCTAGCCAGATTTTTATTTTTCTTTCTATAGGTAGTCCTCAAGTTATGGCCGGTCGTTTAAATGGCAAAATAAATAAATAAAAATGCCCAGATGAGTGGATTCGGATTTATAGCCACGAGATTCACTTAACAGTTGCCATTAAAAAAAAAATGGTTGAAAAATCAGATCGGATCGTGTTTCAACTTACGACCAAAAACTACTTAAGACCAGAATTTCAGTCCCAATTGTGGTCGTAAATTGAGAACTACTTCTAATCATGTCAGAATACAAGCTGGTCCTGTTTCATCTGTCAGAATCCTACCTGGTTTTGTTTCAGGAAATAGAAGAATGTTATGTGAAGCCTGGGAAATTATTGTTGACCCAGTTACGAGAATCGGGCCAGGCTTTTGAAGCCTTTTTTCGTGCCTCTGAAAGCGACGTCACTTTAATCTCCTATACCATCCAGGTCAGTGGGTGCTTCCTTTTTCCAAAAATCCCCAGTGCTTAATTTTCCCACTTTGGGAGCAAATAAACCAGCTGTGGAGTTTGAGCCAGATCATTTTTTTTAGATGTTATTCTTCCAGCTTTCTGCTGAAAATTGTCCCTTGCAGGGTGTTTTTAATTCTAAAAGAGCTGATTGCTGCATCTTTCTGTCGCTTGGTAAGAGGCATTTTTCCATGGAAAGCTGAAGTGGAAACTATTCTGGATGGCCCTCCTAGACCTGTCTTCCTCCAGAAAGGGAAGGAAAATAAGTGAAATAAGTCTCAAAGTCTCGCTGCAGACTGTTTTGTGCCGTTAGGCTGCTTGGTTACAAGACGTCGCTTGTGAATGCAGTGGGTGTCGCGTCATGCCACATTTCTTCTTTCCAGGACTTCGAGAAAATGTGGGGTCTTCTCTTTCAAGAGACCCAGCAAAGGAGGCAGCGGATTCAAGAACTGGATGGAGCTTTACGCCAGGCCGAGGTGGACAGAGCAGAGCAGGTGAGTCACTGCGGAAGAAGAGGGCTAAATTTTTAAAGAGAAGGCAGAGAAGAGGGGGCCGATGCAAAGCACCTGAAGGCAGAACAAGAAGCAATTGATGGAAACCTATTAAAGAGAGGAACAACCTAGAAATAAGAAAAAAAATTCCCAATCAATCAGTGGAATGGCTTCCCTCCAGAAGTTGCAGTTGCTCCATCACTGGAGGTTTTTAAGATAAGATTGGACAGCCATTTGTTCTGATGTGGTATAGGGTCTCCTGCTTGAGCAGGGAGCTGGACTAGAAGACCTTCCAACTCTGCTCTTCTGTTACATTGCTTGCATTTTCAGATCACAGTCATCCTGAGCAAGTACACCAAGATGCTAGAAGACCTTGCCTATCTCTTATCCTCAGATGTCCACAGATTCGTACACCAGGAAGCCATGGTGAGATCCTTCTTCTTAAGATCTGGGGGGGGGGGAAGAGGTGTCTGCAGTAAGAATCAATTGATTGATTCTTACAATCAATACAATCATTCCTTTACCTACCATTGGGCTTCCCCATCGTGGGAGATGAAAATATAGCCCCCCCCCTCCTCACGTGAAAGATGGACCTAGAGCAAGATTGAGATCGGCCCCACGGTCGTGATTTAAAACAAAGCCTTAGCTCAAACTCTATATGAAATTGCAAAATAGGTACTTCTGCTATACCCTATGGTCCTCGTTGCAATGGGTTGTTAATGTAAGCAATGCTATGTAATGCTATATTCCCAATTATTAGAAAAACAAAACCTCTGAATCTCAAAAGTAAGAATTATTGGGTTGTGTTGCTGTCTCTTGTCTTCTCCATTGGGTTTTTCCACGACACCGTGCTTGTCAGAAGCTCGCAAAAGGGGACCCCGGGACACTGCAGCAGCCGAGCGTGCAACAGTCCTAAGTGTGAAAAAGGGTCATAAACTCACTTCTTCCAGTGCTGTTGTAACTTCGAACGGTCCCTAAACAACCTACACACACCTAACTGGCTGTCTCACCTCTACTCCTAGATGATCAACCAAGCTCTCCTGGCCAATCGGAGGGCGATCTCCAAGTTGTTCCTTAACCTGATGGAGGCTGAGCTCAAGTGGGATTCCTTTTATCGCTGTCAGCTGGAAGAGAGGAAGGAGATCTGGAGAGCCGTGCAGAAGAAGCACCTCGTTTCCAGCTTCCAGTGAGGAATGCGGCGAGGCGAGAGGGCAGGGCACTCTTAACCTTAGCAAGGCGACCTTATGGAAGGCCTTGTGAAGCCCCAGAAATGGCAGAGGTCAAGGCTGCAGTCCAGGATAGGGGATGATCTAGTGATCTCCCTTAACACGCAGCCAAGGTCAAGGGGGATTCGGACTTTGAAACAGATCCTTGGGTTTTGCTGCATTGGCAAACAGCTTGTTTTTTCCCCTTCTTGTTCAGTTGCTAAATTGTGTCCGACTCCTTGTGATTTCATGGACCACACATGCCAAACCCCCCCAACCCCCCCCCCGTCCTCCACTGTCTCCTGGAGTTTGCCCAAATTCACACTCATTGTGTTGATGACCCTATTTAACCATCTCCTCCTCTGTTGTCCCCTTCTCCTTTGGCCTTCCCTCTTTCCCAACATCAATGGCTTCTCCAAGAAGTCCTCCTTTGGTGGCTTTCCCAGAAAGACAAAGTTGGCTACATTTGAGTAATCCTCCTCCTCCTCCTCTCTTCTTCTTCTTCTTCTTCTCTTCTTCTTCTTCTTCTTCTTCTTCTTCTTCTTCTTCTTCTTCTTCTCCTTCTCCTTCTCCTTCTTCTTCTTCTTCTTCTTCTTTTTCTTCTTCTTCTTCTCCTCCTTCTTCTCCTTCTTCTCCTTCTCCTTCTCCTTCTCCTCCTTCCTCCTCCTCCCTCTCCTCCCACCCCCTCCTCCTAAATCTGCATGCCATTTGGGGTCTTCTTTACTTTTTTTAAAGAGAACCAGACCATCATCTGTTCCTCATTCAATCTAATCTGAAGTTTGCGCTTAATCCTGCAGAGAGTTTGTGGAAAGTGAAAGAATCCAGAACCCAAAGGCTGTGGAAATGGAACTGGAGAGCATGCTAGAAGAGCAGCGGTCGCTGGCCGAAAAAAGAAGGAAGCATTTATTCTCTGTGGGGTAGGTGAGCCTAAAAACAGGAGGCGGCTTCCTTTCCCGAGGGGGCCCAGACCCTCCCCTTCTACCAATTTTCCCGAGCCTTTTCTCTTACCCTTCCACCCGAGCCTTTTGTGTTTCCACCTCCATGGAGCCCTCCCTCTGGTCAACGCTCCCCATGTTTTCTTTTCCTTTTTTTTCCTCTTGTAGCTACCTGTTGCCTTTGAAGCACACCAAGGCCGAAATCAATGAGTGGTACGAGTCTCTGGTGGACTTAAATAAACGAATCGGTAAGGATCACGATGATAATGATGATCACTGACGGCTTGTGTCCCACATTCAGGGGGCTTCCCTGATTCCTTCCCTAAGACAACCGCCCAGTGTAGTAGGCTGGCAGAGAGAAAGAGTTGACTATAGCAAAGTCATCCCCTTGAGTTGAGACTTGAATTTCCTTTTTTGTAAGTCAGCACCACGACCGGCATATTGCACTGCCTAGACTTTAAAAAGGCATTCCCAATGTCACTCTTTCTCTCTTGTTTCCTTCCTTCTTTCCCTGCTTCCTTCCCTCTTATTCTCTCCCTCCCTCCCTCCCTTATTTCTTTCCTTCCCCCCCTCCTTTCTTTGCTCCTTTCCTTCCTTCCTTCCTTCCTTGCTTGCTTCCCTTCCTTCCCTTCCTCCCTCCCTCCCTCCCTCCCTTACTTTCTTTCTCGACTGAAGACACTCACAACGTCCAGTCCATGATGAGAATTCGCCTCCAGTACGAGAAGGTCTGTCAGGAGTGTTTGGAAAAACTCCAGGAATGCAAGGTGAGCTTTCAAATAGGCCTGGTGTCCCCTAAGCCTAGCCGATCTTGTTCCTTTTAAAAATAAAAATAAAAACGTGCCTCTTTTATTTGCCTGAAGGGAAGCTATCTTTCCCGTGAGATTATTGGAGAGAGAATAAAACTATCTGCCTCCATTGCTGTACAGGTAGTTCTCAACCTGTGACCGCAACTGAGCCCAAAACATGTTTGTGGCTACGTGAGATTAAGTGAATTTTGACAGTGTTGTTAAGCGAGTCCCTGCAGCTGTTAAGTTACTTAAACGGTCGTTAAGTGGATCTGGCTTCCCCATTGACCTGGTTTGGTCAGGAGGTTGCAAAACGGGATCACGTGCCCCCCCCCCCGGGACACTGCAGCCATCATAAATATGAGTCAATGGCCAAGAGTCTGAATTTTAATCATGTGACTATGGGAAGGCTGCAGTGTCCCAAGTCCCTTCTTTCAGCGCCGCTGTAACTTCAAAGAGTCACTAAATGAACCATCATAAGTCGAGGACAACCTGTGCTCTCCATCTAAAACGAGTGATTAGGTGATTTCAACTCTAAATGAACGTAAGAAAACCGTCGTACTTCCTTTGAATAAACGCAAACTTTATTTTCTGGTGCGTAACGGACATGGTTAGGATGCCTCGGCCGCTTAGAAATTGCAGGCCAACAACACGGTTCTTTTTTTCTTCTTCTTTTTCTTCCCTCCCCCTTTAGCAAAATCTGATCGACATGAAGATTTGCAGCCTCAAAGAGGCCGAGAAGATCGTAAACCCAAATTTCTACCAGTTAATTGGGAAGCTGCAGACTCAGTTTGAAGTAAAGATAGAGAAGATGGATGTACGTGGAGCCTTCTCTCTCCCATCAGTGGGACAGGGAAGTTCATTAAAAGAAAGGGAAAAATGGGGAGAGGGGGAAATGGAAAAAAAATGTCATTAAAAGAAATGGGAAAAGAGCCAGTGGCTAAAATACAAGGCTAGAAACCTGGAGACTGGGAGTTCTAGTCCTGCCTTAGGCACAAAAGCCATCTGGGTGACTTTGTGCCAGTCACCGGGAGACTGGGAATTCTAGTCCCTCCTTAGCCATGAAAACCAGCTCGGTCACTATGGTCCAATCACCATAGTCCTGCCCTAGGCACGAAAGCCAGCTTGGTGACTTTGGGCCAGTCCCCTTTCTCTCACACAGTTGTGGTGGAGAAAATAAGAGGAGGAAGGCACATTACTTACGTTCACTGCCGTTATAAACATAATAAAGGCTGGATGAAAATAAAATTTAAAAAATCTGGGAGGAAATGTCTTTCCCCGAGCAGACATTGTTTGTTTGTTTAGATTCAGGGTGTTTTTTTTTCCATCCCTTGGGTCCATCCTAGCCTTCCCTAGTCAGGACCATCTCCTTTCCCATCACCTACGTGGATTTTTTCTCGTTCTTCCCAACTGTTCCAGGATGACTTGGAACACCTGGTTAAAAATACAGAAACCAACTGCAGGCACCTCTATCAGTACTTCCAAGATGCCCTGGGCATCTTTGACGTCCACCAGCAGAAGCTCACCCAACAGGAGAACGGTCTTCAGAAAGCTTTAAACGATTGTCGGGGCAAGCACGAAAATATGAACAAGGTCAGAGCACTGGTCCTCGTGTGGGGTGGAGTGGGGGGGGTCCATTATTCCTGACCTTTTGGCCAAAGCAGCTTAGAAGAACATTTATTTGCAGGCTGATTATCACAGCGCGCTCCCACCCTACATCAGCTAAAATTATTCTAACATGCAGCTATTATTATTATTATTATTATTATTATTATTATTATTATTATTATTATCATAACGCCTCTTTGTTTTCTGCGTGCGCAAAACAGCTAAGGGAAATGAATCTGGACATAGTGGTGGACAAACTGAGGATGCAAAGCACCGATGAAAAGCTGAAAGCTTATCTAGAGAGGGTTTACGCGGCCTTGGACATCATTCGCCATGGGTACGCGAAGGGCTGCCTGCGTCGTTGGGAGGGATTTGGGCCCCTGGGCCGAAGAACGGCGGAAGGCTCCCTCTCCCACTAACGTTGTTGTTGCGACCGTTTGGAGGAAAGAAAGGTTCATTCTGCTGTTTTTTTATTTCCTCAAGGTACACAGTCTTCCATCAAGAACTCTTGTCCAAAGTGATGGCTTACCCAAGCCATGTTCGGCACGAACTTCTTTCCTACAGTGCTACCGTCAGCCGGTATTTTTACGTCCTGGGCAGCTACAAAGGGGTAGGCCGAAAAAACAGATCTGTTCAAACTTAGCATGTTCACCCAGTGGGTGGACCCAGCCACCACTGGTGTTCAGAGACAGCTTTCCCAGTCCTTTTGAATCCTGGGTTAGAGCGGGGGTCCCCAAGCCCCGGTCCGCGGACCAGTACCGGGCCGTGACATGCCAGCAACTGGTCCTCACAAACAAGCAAAGACCCATCCGCGGGATGCAGGCAACACACAAAACCACACACCCTCTGGTCCGTGGAAAAACCTCTCTCCCCGTAACCGGTGTCCAAAAGGTTGGGGCCCTCTGGTTCAGAGGACAGAAAGAGCAGAATACAGAATAACAAAGTCGAAAGGGACTTTGGAGCCAAGAAAAGTCAATTTAGCCTTCCTGTGGAACCAATGTCCCCACCTGGCCTGTCTGGAGGGACGAAGATTTGAACAAATGCCTTTTAACTGCAAAACACCAATTCAGGCCTGCTTTTCCATCCTAGCCTGAGCAGACCATGCCAGTCTCTTTACCTTAACCCTAACCCTAGGATTGATTAATCCCATCGTTAAGTTTGGTTTGATCAGTCTTCGGGGCTCATTGGCCGTTTATTGAAAGCCAGGACGGGCCTTCTCTTAATTGTGCCTTTGCTGATATTGCGGGGAAAACAGTTGTGGTTTTTCAAAGAGGTGACTCCCTTTCTGTCGCCCCCTCCCCTTTTTTTCCCCCCTCCATTTTTTTTTTTTTTAGAAGACACTAAAGAAACCAGGAGGCTCAGGGGAAGAAGGAAGGGATGGAGGAGGTAAGGACTACTTCCTATGAAGTCCTTTTTCAAATGCAGGTAAGTCCCCGCCTTACTAACTGGAATCGGGACCAGCATTTCTAATGCCAACCAACTTGGTTGTTAAGAGACAGAGTCTTGGGGTCACGTTACCCCCCTTTTTCAGCCTCTGACAAGCAGAGTCAATGGGAGGAAGCCAGATTCATTTTAACAACCGGGTTAACTAACTTAACAACCGCAGTAAATCACTGTGGCCAGAAAGGTGATAAAATGGGGCAGAACACACTTTAACAGCCACAGAAACTCGAGGCTCAATTGTGAGCGTAAGTCAAGGGCTACCTGTAATGCGTCGGCCCCAGCTGAGGGATGCTGGGAGTTGTAGTTTAGCAACAGCTGGAAGGCCACAGCTTCCCCCACCCCTAGGGCTTTGAATGGGCTGGAATCACCATTGTGTGTTTTGACCAAAGAGACCGAAGAAACAGAAGCGGATCTGGAGATTTCCTTGGAGAAAGAGAGCGAGGAAGGGCTGCCTCTGGAGGAGATGGGAGGAGCTGATGATGTCGAGGAGGAAACTGAGCAGGAAGACGGGGAGGAAGGAGAAGAAATGGAGACCTCTTCTCCCAAGGACGCCGTTGGTGGAGATGACGCCGAAAGATCAGAGGAAGGGAAGGCCTTGGGGCCCAAGACTGAAGATGCCACAGAACCAGCGCTGGTGAGCTAGGATTCTCCTTGAGGATGAGCAGACATCCACCCTTCCTTGCCCGTTGATCCCAAGGAGCTGTCCCATCCCGTTTATTTATTTAATTTATCGCTATCCCGCCTTTCTTACCTTTACATATGACTCAAGGCGGGGAACTTATCCAACACAACTTCTTTCTTCTGTTTTTTCTCGACAATAACAACCCTGTGAAGTGGGCTGAAAGAGAAGGACTGGCCCAAAGACACCCAGCGGGCTTTCATGCCTAAGGTGGGACTAGAACTCACTGTCTAGAACTGGCCCTCCTTCTGTTCTGAACTTTTGTTTTTTTTTTTCAAAAACAGCAGCTCAGTGTTCCCTTTTCTCTTTCATCCTTCTGCAGACAAAGGATTCGGGCAAGAAGTCCAAGCGAAAGGATGTGATTGAGGAATACTTCACCACGTCCGGCCAAAACACGTACAAAGTGACGGAGTACTTAAAGAAGTCTAAGCTCCGGAAACCAGAGAAATATTACCTGGGGAAGCTGAAAAGCAGTTCTTTGCCTTCCTACCTGGAGCAGGTGTATCTGTCAGAGGGTTTTTTGAGAGATGTCAGAAGACAGTTAAGTACAAGCCTCTCTCTTTCTCTTTGTCTCCATCTCTCTTTCTCTTTGTGTCTCTGTCTCCCTATGACTCTTTCTCTCTCTCTCTCTCTTTCTCTCTCTCTCTCTCTCTCTCTCTCTCTCTTTCTCTGTCTCTCTCTCTCTCTGGGCAACTCCCAGTTTACCACTTAGCTAACAAGTTAACCTTCTGCAAGAGTCTTTCAGCTGTAGCCACTTCAGCCCCCACCCCCAGGATCTGCTCTCCAAGATCTTCTGAATCAGCTTGGTCCTTCCTTTGAGATGGGACCAGCGCTGTCGTCCCCCCCCCCCGTTCTCCTTAAGCCGCCTCTTTCTCACCCTCCTCTCTGCTCCCCCAGCAGTATCCGACTCCAGTTCTTTGAACAGTTGGAGAAGTGGTTTGATGACACCTTATCCAGCAGCTGGGTGGTCGTGGTGGCCAAGAAGGAAGAACTCAGCTCCGAGCTGCAGCTGCGCCTCCATCTTCACGAACCCCGGAGGGAGCGCATCGAGAAAGACGTGTACAACGTCCGGATGGGTACCTGTTTTTTGTGTGTGCTTTTTACCCTGTAGCCAGGATCCACTCTCCACCCTTGCAGTGTGAGTCCTGGAATTGAAGAGGGGGCTTATTTTGGATTCAGATCTGGGTTGACCCATTTCAGGTGTCCTCACCAGCTTTGAAGGTGTCTATGGAGAGTCTCAGTCATCCAGGTCTTGGTTGTCCCAAAGGTGCTTCCACCCCCCCCCCCCCAAGAGGCAACTGGACTTTCTAGCTTTTCTTTTGAAGACCTTTCGCTTCCCATCTAAGAAACGTCTTCAGCTCTGACTGGATGGTGGAAGATGGAAGGACTTGCTACGTATATGTAGGGATGTGGTCTATACATATGTTGTTTATAGTATGTTTAGGTGTGCGTCATGTATGTGTTTCACTTTGAGAGCGGGCAACTAAATTTCATTTTTGATGTGTGCCGTTGTGCCCACAGTAAAAAAATGACAATAAAGGTTATCTCATCTCATCTCATCTCATCTCATCTCATCTTGCTTGCTTCCGCTCCCCACCATCCAGTCAGAGCTGAAGAAGCTTCTTGGATGAGAAGCGAAACGTCTTCAGAGAAAAAGCAAGAAAGTCCAGTTGGCTTCTGGGGGGGGGGGGAAGCACCTTTGAGACACCAGCTTTGAACTTCTTCAGCACCACTTTATCTCCTTCCCTCGCTTTAAACTTGGGAATTTTCGTCCTTCCCTCTCAGTGGAGCTACGGATCCACAGCGACCGCCTGAAGCGTCACTGCGCCGGCGTGATAGAGTTGCTGAACAAGGAGAGGAGCGCCTTCCTCAAGATTCGGGAAGACCACAACGCAATCAGCAGATCCTTCCGAAACCGAATCCTAGACATGGAGAAAGTCTTCCAGATGGAAAGCCGGGCAGAAAAGTCAGTTTGACAATTGGAAAGAAATGGAGGTGGCCCACCATCTCACAGTTGCCCTGAGGCCTTCAAGGCTTGGCCTACGGCCCTGCAGAAGTGGCTGGCTGGTGCTTCTGAAGCCTGAGGCCGGCACGGCTTGGTTCCCACCCCTCCCCTAATTCCTACATTCCCTCCCACCCCCCTTTTCTAATGTCAGGTTGTCAGCCGGCAGCACTTGACTGGCAGAAGGACAGCCCTGACACCAGCTCCCCTTCAAAGGTGATTTCAAAGTCAGGGCTTTCTGTCCACTCTCTCCTTGGTAGGGTGATGGCCCTCAGCCGCAACTTACACATGGAGTTGCTGAACCATGTGGAAGTACTACAGGTCTCCACGCGGAGCTACAGGCAGTATCTGGAGGAAGCTTTGGGGAAACTGCGAGATTGTAACACGGACTTTCTGAAAGCCTGCAGGTACCTAGAACACAGAATAACAGAGTCGGAAGGGACCTCAGAGGCCTTTTAGTCCAACCCCCTGCTCAGGCAGGAGACCCTATACCATTTCAGACAAATGGCTGTCCAGTCTCTTCTTAAAAACTTCCAGTGTTGGAGCATTTACTGCTCCTGGAGGCAGGTTGTTCCACTGGATAATTGTCCTCACTGTAAGGAAATTTCTCCTTAGTTCCAGGTTGCTTCCCTCCTTGATTAGTTTCCACCCGTTGCTTCTCGTCCTGCCTTCTTCTGGTGCTTTGGAGAATAGCTTGACTCCCTCTTCTTTGGGGCAACCCCTGAGATATTGTTCCAGGTAGCTTCTCTCCTTGATGAGTTTCCACCCCATTGCTGACCCCATCCTTGGGGGTTTTTTAGACTGTTTGCAGACGGTGGGAACTTTTCGCCCGAGGAACTGGAGGGCTTCATGAAGCAGCTGCAGAAAGAGAACTCGCGCATAGAGTTTGTCGAAGGCTTGATCATGATCGATATGGAGAAAGCCGAGACCGGCTATCTGGAGCAGGTGAGACCCCGGGAGCCTTTTCCAAATGACCGGAGTTGGGTTCAGAAAAAGGACAAGAGTGTGGGAAGAGAGGGATCCCCTTCCATTTTATTTTAATCACCATTTTTAAGGGTGAGATCTTTCTTTGCTGTTTCAATGTTGTCCACGGCATTTTTATTTGGTGTCTGTCAGCCGCCTGGACTCGGCCCTGGGCGGATGGGCAGCCTGCAAGTTTGATCAAGGAAGTAAAACCAAATAAGTACGATTGTCAACACTCAGCTTCATGGGGAGGGGGGTTAAATGAAATCCTCCTGCTGGGTGACGTGGTCCCAATTCCTCCCATTACCCAACCAGGCTACCGAAATTATTGGCAAGTTTGAGAACAGGTTTCGCTATCTGTTGATGGATCGAGTCTTTCTGGAGAAAATCCAGCGGTTTCTGACCAACATTCAAGTGAAAATCAAGACAGAGGTACCAAGAGAAAAAGGCTCCACTACCATCCCTCCCTCCCTCCCTCCCTCCCTTCCTTCCTTCCCTTCCTCTTTTCCCCTCCCTTCTATCTCAGTTCCCTCTTCTATTTCACCTGCTTTTTCTTTCTTTCCTTTCTTTCCTTCCTTCCTTCCTTCCTTCATCTCCCATCTCTCCCTTCTATCTCTATCCTTCCTTCCTTGCCTCCCTCACCTTCCTTCCCTCTCTTCTATCTCACTTCCCTGTCCCTCCTTTTCCGTCCTTCCTTCTTTCCTTCCTCCCTCCCTCCCTCCCTCCCTTCCTTCCTTCCTTCCTTCCTTATCTGACCCTTTCCGAGGGAATGTGGTCAGTCTGGCAAGATTCTTGCAACATCAGGGACTAAACCATAAGCCCTTCTGCTTGGGACCATTCACACCTGGTTCTCCTCCGTTGCGCCTGACCGAGGACCAGCTAGAGAAAAACCTTTGCTTTCTTCTGTGAGATTCATCTAACTGTGAGGTGGGGGGTGGGATGGGGTCTTTTCACTTTCCAGGTGGCCAAATCCAACTGGCAGACCCAAACGTTGAATAACTCCTTGGAGAAGCTGGTCCAGAGGATCGATGCCTGCGCCCACCCGAATGTGGACAAGGAAGTAGGTCTGAAGGGGTCTGCCTCAAAAGACCAGCACGAGACCACACTCCAGCTTTCTTTCTCTTTCTTTCTTTCTTTCTTTCCTTCCTTCCTTTCTTTCTTTCTTTCTTTCTTTTTCTTTCTTTCTTTCTTTCCTTCCTTCCTTCCTTCCTTCCTTCCTTTTTCTTCCTTCCTTCCTTTCTTCCTTCCTTTCTTTCTTTCTTTCTCTTTCCCTTCCTTTCTCCCTTTCCTTCCCTTCCTTTCTTTCTTTCTTTCCTTCCTTCCTTCCTTCGTTCCTTTTTCTTCCTTCCTTCCTTCCTTCCTTCCTTCCTTCCTTCCTTTCTTTCTTTCTTTCTTTCTTTCTTTCTTTCTTTCTTTCTTTCTTTCTTTCTTTCTTTCTTTCTTTCTTCCTTTCTCCCTTCCCTTCCTTTCTCCCTTCCCTTCCTTTCTTTCTTTCTTTCTTTCTTTCTTTCTTTCTTTCTTTCTTTCTTTCTTTCTTTCTTTCTTTCCTTTCTTCTTTCTTTCTTTTATTTATTTTATTTTATTTTATTTTTATTTTCTTTAGAGCATTACTCCAGAAAGACTTTACGAATTTGCCAAGTTCGTCATGGAAGAACTGAAGAAGAGATGTAAATACCTCAACTGTCAGCTCCGGATGCAGGTAACACTATTTCTGCTGCGACGCTTCGTCTGCTCACTCTTTCTTGGCCTTCTTCCTTCTACATTCTCCTCTCTTAGGAACCGGAGATCATTTCTGTGCCGGTGGTCTTCGCCCAAGACTCCCTCGTAAGCTCCGCCCCGTCGGATATTTCGCTACCGGACGGCAAGGTGACCGTGATGGGCATGGAGTACACGCCCGTCCTGAATCCCAGCAGGATGGGGAAGCCGGCCTTCGATGACGCCTCGTTCCACCTGATCCGAAATCTCACCGGGTGAGCGTCCAAGGAAGACTTCACCAAGCATCAGGGTGAAAACCACAGGGACTAGAACCTTGTCAGGGTTCTTTTAAGTACTATAGTCCTCCGCTTAAGAGCCAGGCATTTAGTGACCTGAGAAAAGGGACTTTATGACCCTTTTTCACACCACCGTCACAGCATCCCCGTGGTCGCTGTGATCAAAATTCAGACGTTTGGCAACTGGCTCGTATTTACGACGGTCACAGTGTCCCGGGATGACGTGTTCCCCTTTTGCGACCTTCTGACGAGCAAAGTCAAGGGGGGAAGGCAGGTTCACTTCACAACTGTGTTACTAAATAACAAGTGTAGTGATTTGCTTAACAACGGGGGCAAGAGTCACTTTACAACTGTCTCACTTAGCAACAGAAATGTTGGTGACCGCAAACCGAGGACTACCTGCCTATCCCAATCAGTGGGCTCCAAACACAAGAGAGTCAACACAACAACACGATCTCTGGCTTCTAAAAGCTTATCAAGTTGATAACACCTCACAGCTTATTGTCTTCTGGCTAAGAGCCGGTCAAATTGAAAGTTAGCCCAAGCTAAGCGGGACACTCTGCCTCACAATCGACGCTTCCTCGCCTCAGATCGGGAGGCCGAATTTGGGAGCGATGACCTTTTTCTGTCTTCCGTTCATTCCAGATTTGTGCGTGGGAGAAGGATGATCGATGCTCAGCACGAAAAGGACATCGCGGGGCAGCCTGGAGCAGACCGAGGAGGTGAGGAGCAGAACTCTGACACAGGCTAAGGATGTGGTGGCTTAGCCGTTCAGATACTAGGTTTGAGACCCCAGCACCATGGGATGGGGTGAGCGCCTGTTCCTGCCTCAGCTCCTAGCAGTTTGAAAGCAGGCAAATGCAAGTGGATTAGTGGTAAATAGGAACCACTTCAGTGGGAAGGGCCTATAGTCATGCCGGCCACATAACCACGGAAGTGTCTTCGGAGAACACCAGCTCCCTCAGCCAAGAAACGGAGGGGAGCACCTCCCTTAGAACTGGACACTGCTGGCCAGGGGAAAACCTTTTTAAGGGCAGGGAAATACAGGTCCCAGCCGCCACGCCAGCATAGCTGCCAAGAGGAAACACTGAACTTCAAATAGAGAAGCCCAACAAGCAGAGGGTCCTTCCATGGGGTCCTCTTTTTGCCTTAGATCCCCACCCAACGTGGACAGAAGGGCGTTTCAGAGAAAGCGACCTCTCCCTTGGGTCGTCTTGGAATCCTCGGCCACCGTTACTTGGATCTGGGCTTCCCTCGCCGATCCCTTGCACCACCCTGCTTAGTTCCATCCATCTTTTCCCTCTGTATTATTTCAGAATTTCCCAATCAAGCTTTACCGCCCCTCCTGACTGGGGGCGGTCATCGTGAAAGCCTTCCGTTGGGAGCATCCTACTTACCCGGGAAGAAATCTAGTTCCATTACCAAAGTCTCGGAAAGGTAAGCATCCCTCCTTGGGTGAGGTAACTAAGTATGTCTAGTCTAGCGAAGAGACGGATCGGGCAGGGGGGAAACATGATGGCTATCTTCCAGTACTTTGAGGGGCCGTCACAGAGAAGAGGGGGGTGGACCTATTCTCTAGGGCACCAGAGGGCAGGACAAGAAGCAATGGATGGAAGCTTGCCAAAGCGATCCAACTTAGAAGGAAGGAGAAATTTCCTGACAGTGAGGACAATTATCCAGTGGAACAACCTGCCTCCAGAAGTTGTGGGTGCTCCAGCACTGGAGGCTTTTAAGAAGAGACTGGACAGCCATTTGACTGGGATGGTAGAGGGTCTCCTGATTGAGCAGGAGGCTGGACTAGAAGACCTCCCAGGTCCCTTCCAGCCCTCTGACTCTATTGTCCGTCCATCCATCCATCCATCCATCCATCCATCCATCCATCCATCCATCTCTGTCTATACATCTATCTTTATCATCTGTCTGTCTATCCTCTTATCTATCTATAGGTTTTCAAGAAAGAATTGGACATTTGTCTGAGTTGGTATAATGTCCCTTCCAGCCTTATGATTCCATGTTCTGGGTGAAAAGCATGTCCTATTCTCTCCAACCCGCTTTATTTTCATTTTTCCCCTCTGAAAAATGGAGCAGGCTTCCAGGATCCATGGTTGCTTAAATTTGTCGTTTCAAAGCAGATACGATTCCCTCTGGAGATTCAGTGGGCTCGCTGCATCCTTTCCTTCTCCTGGAAGCTGGCCAAAGTTTTATTTTAATTTCCAGAGTTTATCCCGCCTGTGGCCTTGATAAAAATTAATCCACTCCTGGATTAAAGTGTTGCTGTGCTGACAGCACGGCAGGGCAGTTGTTAAATTGTCTTCTTTGCCATGTAGCGGGAACTCCATCCAAAAATACACCAGACTTACTAAAGCCGACAGGAAGTTGATGATTTTCGGAGGGCAGCCAAGAGAGACCGAGTAAGTCCAGATTATTACTTTTGAGACTCCGCAGATCTGGAGTTTATCTGAGTTAATTTACTTCTTCAATGTTCCATCTTACTGGCTGGATTTACAGATCCTAATGCAGTTTCCATAGGTGTTCAGATCATCCTCAACTTACGACCACGGTTGAGCCCAAATTTACATTGCTAAGCCAGACCGTCGCTAAGGGAGTTTTACCTCATTTTACGACCCCCCCTTGCCACAGTTGTGAAGAGAATCACTGCAATTATTAAACTAGTCACACCTTTGTTCAAGGAATCCAGCTTCCCTACTGACTTTACTTTCTCAGAAAAGGGGATCACGTGACCCCGGGACACTGCGACCGTCATAAATACGAACCATTTGCCAATAGTCCGAATTTTGATCACGTGACCGTGCGGTCGTAAGTGTCAAAAATGGTCCTAAGTCACTTTTTTTCAGTGCCGTTGTAAGTTTGAACAGTCACTAAACGTGGTTGTAAGTCAAGGTCGTAAAGTCAAGCCATCCCACCTAGTCCCATAAAGCCGCTTAGCTTTATTTTTTTTTTAGGATGAGAGAACAATTTTGCATTTGATCGGCCTGCCATTTTTTATTTTTTTTTTAAATTAAAAAATAAAATAAAAGTCTACTTTTAAGTCATCTTCAGGTTTATTTTGGCACTTTTTCAAAAAAAAAAAAAAAAGCAAAAGACGATAATAAGATCAAGAAGTAATGCCACCTTTTCAATTGTTTCCATTAGCGCGGATTACTTTACCGGAATCATCTTCAGCATCCTGTGGGACAATTTTGATAACATCATGAACGTTGCTGAGGTAGGAACTTATTTTATTTTATTTTTTCATTACTATCACTGCTAGTCCCTCCAGTTTTCTTGGCAAGGTTTTTCAGAAGGGGTGGGCCATTGTCTCATTTCTTGGGCTGAGAGAGAGGGACTGGCCCACGGTCACCTTGTTGGCTTCCTGTCTAAGGCGGAACCTGAACTCTGCACCTCCTTGTTTTGAGCCTAGAGCCTTAACCGTTATTCCAAACTGGCTTACAATTATTAGTACCCTGATTATCATAAACCCTCCCCCAGTAATGCAATTTCAAGACAAAAAACCATAAAGCAATAGATTACTTTAATACACAGTCCTAAGATGCTAAAAATCCAGCTTGTCACTCTGGAAAATATGTAGAATTGTAAAAGTACTTAGGAAAAATAGGAAACCTAAACAGGTATGGCCTCGTCTAAGGCATAATATACGTGAGAGCTGGTTGGTTTAGCGATGAAGACTACAGGCCAGAAAACAGGAGACGGTGAGTTCTAGTCCTGCCCTATACATGAAAGCCAGCTGGATGACTTTGGGCCAATCACCAGGAGATGGGGAGTCATACCTTAGGCATACAACCTGGCTGGGTGACTCTGGGCCAATCACTAGGAGATGGGGAGTTCTAGTCCTGCCTTAGGCATGAAAACTGACCAGTCTCTCCCTCTCAGCCCAGCCCATCTCACAGCATCGTTGTGTGTGTGTGTGGGGGGGGGGGAAATAGGAGGAAGGGTATTAGGTCTGTTTTGCTAAATTGTTTCTAAAATTAATAATGGCGGGATACCAATAAATGCTCAAATAATTTTTTTTAAAATACATAAGATGATTCCTTTGGCGCAGAGTCAGTCTTCCTGAGCAACCGAAAAACGCTCCTGTTTTTTTTAATCCTGGTTTAATCCCCGTTCTTCTTTTTTTTTCTAAAGGAATTCTACAAAAAGGACAAGCATCAGATTACGAAGCCAGACTGCCTGCAGGAAACCTACGACCTTTGCATCGAGGCTTTGGGTCAGAAAATGCTGGGCTACCTTTTCCAGTCAGACGAGTACCACATCGCTTGCATCTCCGGTAAGACTGCATTGATAAACGGGGATTCGGCTGCCGAGGGTCAGCGTGTAAATTTAATGAGAAGGAACGAACGAACGAACGAAAAACTTAAGTTTTTCAGACTACCAAACTCTGAATTGCCCCGAATAACGTGACCCCGTTTCCATTCCGTGAAATTTGTCAAGAGTTCCGGGTTCAGCTGAAGACTTTTGAGGAAGAGCTTCCTCGTGTCGTCCGTCTGGCCATCGGCAAACTTCTGAAGGATCACGAGCAGCTCCTTGCCGAATCCACAGAACAGATCCGGGGTCATCTGCAGGACCAGCTGAAAAAATGGACTGCTATAAAAGTAAGTTCATTTAAAGCCTCCGAAATGTTTTAACCGCCTTCTTTCCTCCCGAGTTAAAACAAAAAAAAAATGTCTGTTGACAACCATCTTTCCCATTACTGGCTAGAAGGAGCCAGTCTGGTCTAGTGCTGAAGGGAGCAGGTTAGTAACCAGGAGACCGTGAGTTCTACTCCCACCTTAGGCATGAAAGCTGGCTGGGTGACTTTGGGCCAGTCCATCTCTCTCAGCCCAACCCACCCACAGGGTTGTTGTTGTGGGGGAAAAAATGTGTCTGATGGCCATCAAAGCAGTCTTTTGCCCTTTCAATTCAAGGACAAAAACATGGCTCAGTTGCATACCAGTTTGGGGCACCCGGATAACATCCCTGTGCTGGAGGCCTTGTGCCAAGAGGAAGAGAAAAGGCAAGAAGAGCAAGTGGAAAGCATCCTGATCTGCACCAAGAGGCTGGAGGTACCTTGGAGTCTTCTCTTTTTTTCTATCTATCTATCTATCTATCTATCTATCTATCTATCTATCTATCTATCTATCTATCTATCTATCTATCTATCTCCTTCACTGTCCTGACGGTCACCCCCGCAGGTCTGCGTCACAGAGTGCGCCCAAAAGTTTGTCTCCACCTTGGCCACGTGCACTGAGACCATCCTGATGGAGCTGGACAACAGCCTCACCATTGATGACGTCCAACTGGGAAGTAAGTACCAGCCAGTTGGCCACCTCAACGTCCAACGCACGCCCGGTTTTGCTCAGAGAAACAAAACAGATCTCGCCCATCCCTCGTTCCTAGGGGAATGCAGGCCTGTTTGGACAGGAAAAGGGGGGGGGAGATAATTTATACAGATAGTCCTAAAACCTACGACCACAGTTGAGCCTAATAATCCCGTTGCTCAGTGTGACATTTGTTCAGTGGGTTTTGCCCCATTTTACGACTTCAATTGCCATCATTTAGTGAATTACTGTCTTTTTTAAATAAATAACAGGCTTGTTAAGCGAACCCCATTGACTTTGCTTGTCAGACGGTCGCAAAAGGGGACAACCCTGGGGAACTGCGGCCGTCATAAATGTGAGCATCCGAAGGTAGATTCACGAGACCCCGGGGACGCTCCAACGGTCGCACGTGCGAAGAACAGTCCTGCGGCTTTTTTTCAGCGCCGTTGTAACTCAGCGAACCGTTGAAAGTCTGGGACTACCTTTTAATAGCTTAAGAGGCCAGGTGAACGGATGGCAACAAGGGGATCACCAAAATGCCTCTTTCTCACCCGGATCATTGTTTCCCCTTCACCCCCAGAAACGGAAAAAGTCAGAGAGAAGACCATCACCCTGATCCGCCGTAAAAAAGCCGGCCTCTCCTTGGAAGTGGAGGAGCGGAAACTGGTGGCCGAACGAGGCAGCAGGTGACGTATCACTGCCCTCTTTGGGGGGCACGAGGGGGGGGGGTGTCCCTCAGCTTGGGGCCCAGTCCAGCACCGAGACCTTAGCTGACCAAGGGATCCTTACCTCAGCTAGTCCTCAACTTAACGACGAAAATTGAGCCCCCAATTTCCGTTGCCGAGCAAGATAGTTGCAAAGGGAGACTTGCCCCAGTTTACAGCCTTTTCTTGCCGCAGTTGTTGAGTTTGCGACACAGTTGTTAAGCGACTCTGGCTTCCCCATGGACTTTTGCTCGGCAGAGAGTCACAAAAGGGGATCGCAGGACCCCAGGACGCTGCAACATCTTCAGTTGCCCAAGCATCTGGATTTTGATCACAATGGAAAATGGTCCTATGTCACTTCTTCCGTTGCTGTCGGAACTTCGGTCACTAAATGGTTGTAAATCAAGGACTGCCTGTATTGTTCAGTCAGTCCCCATTCTCAAAAGAGGGGTCACCCCTCTCTGGCCTGGTGTCCTTCTCTGTTTGAAAATTCGAGGGCCTTTGAGGACGGTGTTGCCAAGAACCAAGAGTGTGGTAAAACAGGCAACAGGCTTGCGTAAACACCGCCCCCGCCCCTTCTCTTTTGGGGGAGAGGGGCTCTTTCTTTGCCTTTTGCAGAACCTGGCCTGGCATCCCACAAACCACCATCCCGAGCCTCCCGAACCAGGTGATCTTTCAAGAAACGGCCTCCGTGACCACAGCCAAAACCACGCTGGGCCACGTGGCAGCCGTGGAAGAGAGAGACGCCGTTTACACGGTAAGCAGCTGGTCTGAATGGTCCTCCTGGGACAAGAGAGGAATCGGTGGGAAGGGAGAATCTGTTGGGGGCAAAGTTAGCAATTGTTTTTCCATCACAGTCACCACACCCGTTTGGTGTGGTGACTTGCTCTCCGGCTCCTAGCGTGCAGGGCTAGTGGGGACGGGTGGTATTTATTTTATTATGATTGTCTTATTTATTTAAGCAACCTATCCCTGCTTCAGTCTTTAGTCAGTGTAATAATATATGTTGCAACAGAGGCTGACCAGTGAGGAAGAGGAGGAGGAGGAGAAGGAGAAGAAGTATGGGCAACTATGGGGTCCTTAGTGCTCGTTGTTTTCTTGCAGACTTTTCATTACCCAATTGGTTATATCCCCAGTGCTAGAAAGGTCTGGGATTGTGGGAGAAGGAAAGAGGAGGACTGTGGGGTCCTTGGTTTTCTTACAGGCGTTTCATTACCCAACTAGGTAACATCATCAGTGCTAGTGGGGAGTGTTTATATATAGTTACTTGCCCTGTCAGTGCTGGTGGGAACGGGCTTAGGTTCCTTGATTCTTCTCTTCAATATATATATATACATTTAATCTCTTCTTGGTCCCTCTAAATGCCAAATGCAACCGGATACCTATTTGGCACTTTGGCTTTCGTAGAAGTTCAAGGAAAAGCTGGAGATGGAATTTGCTAGGATCAAGGAGGAAAACTCATCACACCTCATGAAAACCCAACACTGGGCCCACTGGTGGAAGAAATCGGTGCAAAAAATCAAACAGCTCTATCTGTGAACCCCCTTTAATCTCCCGGGATCCACGTCTCCTTCCCTTCCCTCCTCTGTGCGGTACAGACCTATAATTGATCCCTGTTGGAAAAGAAACATTAGTTTGAAAATAAAATGATGCTTATTGTGCAGATCTTGGTGTCTTCCGAAAGAAGGGGATTCTCAGTATTTCCTACACTTATCCATTTTAAGAATTACTTGTACTTAGTATCGTATTTTCCGGCGTATAAGGCGACCCGGCGTGTAAGACGACCCCTGACTTCAGCGCCGAGTTGCATGCCTGGAAAGTCGTCTTATACGCCGGAAACTACCATTATTTCCGGCGTATAAGGCGACTCGGCGTATAAAACGACCCCCGACTTTGGCGCCGATTTCAACACTTTCAAAAGTCGTCTTATATGCCGGAAAGTACGGCAATACTTATTTAGGATGCTATCACTATTTGTATATTCTAAGCCAGAGGTCCCCAATCTTTTGGGCACCAGGGACCGGTTCCGTGGAGAGAGATTTTTCCACGGACCAGAGAGCGCATGGTTTTGTGTGCTGCCTGCGTCCCACGGATGGGGCTTTGCTTGTTTGTGTGGAGTGGTTGCTGGCATGCTGCGGCCCGGTACCAGTCCACAGACCGGGGGTTTGGGGACCCTTGTTCTAAGTATCATTTTTCTTGACCTTGCGTTTCGCGGTCCTCATGCACTCACAATTTCCTGTCGGTGAAAAACAATCAACGGAATCGGGGATGCTTCATCACTGGAAGTTTTCAAAAACAGACTGGACAGTCCATTTGTCCAGGAAGGGTCTCCTGCTTGAGCAGCAACTCGGACTAGAAGATCTCCAGGGTCCCTTCCAATTCTGTTACAGAAAATTTTGAAGAGGAGTTGTAAAGGTTAAAAAACAAGAAAACCACAGGATCTGCACCTCTTTGGAAAAATGCAAAAGGGCAACGACGACTTGGCTGTCATCTTAAAAGCAAAGATAGTTGCATTGTTTTTATCGTTTCCAGATGATGATGGGGTTTTTTTTTTCCCCTGTGCAAATTGACTCATCCTCAAACATTCTGTGTTTCATGCTTTTTGGGAGGGGGGTTTCCCCTCCCACAAGAACTCTACTAAATATGGAAGTGGATCTCTTCGCCGAGAGATAGAGAAAGCAAGAGAGAGAGAGAGAGAGAGAAAGAAAGAAAGCAAAATAAAGATTTAAGCTCCTCTCTGAGCCACAGTGTGAAGATTAAAGCTGATTGATGGGGCTTCATCACTTCGTCTGGGAGGTTTAAACATTTCCAAGTTAGCTCTGCCATCTTAAAACCGATGGGACTTGAATTGATCTGTTTTCATTAGACCGGCTGCATGGATTAATTTCAATATTGCTATACTTACCCACTGAAAACAAGACTCCGGGAGACTCGTACCAAATGTTAAATATAAAACTGAACATCTTCAAAAGCAGATACAGCATAACTTCAGAGAGTTTGAACCAGTTAACTTTGTTTCCTTAGCTGTTAATCCCTGGGCACAATGACCGTTGTTTTGTTTGGATGGTTTTTTTGCCACAGTCATTAAAATGAATCTGTCGTTGTTATGCGAATCGCTGCAACTAAGTAATCGTGCAAATCCACCGTGTTCCTTTAACTTTGTTTCCTGAAGCCTGCTGGGAGGGTTACAAACAGTAACCGCATAACCCCAGGACGCTGCGTCGTAAGTGCGAGGACCAATCATAATTCACATTGGGGGCGGGGGGTTGCAGCTTTCAGTGGTGGTCCAGAAATAGTTATCTCTTCCTTTCTTTCTTTCTTTCTTTCTTTCTTTCTTTCTTTCTTTCTTTCTTTCTTTCTTTCTTTCTTTCTTTCTTTCTTTCTTTTCCTTGCATCGTTGTTTTTAATTTTTATCCGGAAAACAAAAACGTGAAATTCAAAAGATCGTTTTTGTTTGTTTTTTTTACAAAGAGAAAACCAGACAAAAACATTTTTTTTTTTAAAAAGTAAGCTTTTTTTTTTTTTAAAGCTAAATAACTCAGCCAGATCATTGCACAGAGCAGGTGATACTTCGGTCATGTTCGGGATCCCGTGCATTTCATAGGATTGCATCGTTGCAGCTGTGGCCAGCTGCAGCCTTGCCCCTTTTATCATAACCAGTTGATTTAGTCAGCTTTGCTTGCCCACATCCGTTGTGAGCAGCTAAGTCAGCTGGCACAGGCGACTGGCAGGTTTCTATGCCCCAGAACACACAAACAAAGGTGGTTATGCAAATGTGCTAACACAAAACTCTGGTAATGCACACACAGTGCTAGAAGAAACCCTTTGAAGCTTGCAGCGCCTCAGCTGCAATGTTGACCTGTTGCTGAAAAATTTAAGAGTCACAAAATTCATCTTAAAGATCTCAACCAATTGCAGCAAGTCCTCGACTTAAGACGTACGAGTCCAATATTTCTGTTGCTAAGAGAATGTTGCCCCATTTGAACCGCCTTTCTCGCCACAACTGTTAAGCTCGTCACACGGTTGTTAAGTGAGTTCTGGCTTCGTCGGAAGGTCGCAAAAGGGGATCGTGGGATCCCCCCCAGGACGCTGCGACCGTCGTAAACACGAGTCAGTTGCCAAGCGTGCACATTTTGATCCAGGGACCACAGTGGTGTGAAAAACGGCCATCAGTCCCTTTTTTTCAATGCCTTTTCAGCTTCAAACGGTTGTAAGTCGAGGACTCCCTGTATGATCCGTTATGATTTGGTAAATGAAAACCCTCTAGCTAATTTTCAGTCCATCAGCCAAGATTTCTGCTCACCCTGGGTCAAGAATAGCTACGATCACAACACACACACACACACACACACACATACACACCCCACTCGGAACTGATCCGTTCCTCCTGACCTGAAGTCTTGGCGTGCAGGGGTCCTACTCAGCCACTGCTCCTCAGTCGCTTCCAACTCTTTGTAAGCTATGAATAATGTTTCAACAAGGCCGAATCTCAGTGGCTTTGAATTCTTGTCGTTCCGTGGGGGAAAAACACCAGCCACTTTCTCCCCTCTTGGTTTTTTTTCTAATTACCTTTGATTTTTCCCCCCCCTCCCAAGCGGAAAGTCTTCCCTACTGTTTCTCACCTTTGCATTATGCATACAAACTGTGGGAGAATCAGCTTCACCTTCCATGCCTGCAGGGAGCCATTAAACTTCACGTCATCTGGTGTTCGGTGTATAGTTCTCCTTACCCCCCATGGTAGCCTTAATTGTGTTCTCCAGCAACACAATCTGGAGGTTGGAATTTTATTTCAGTTCACCTTTCTGATTCATTCTCTCTCTCTCTCTCTCTCTCTCTCTCTCTCTCTCTCCCTCCCTCCCTCCCTCCCTCCCTCCCTCCCTCTCTAAATCTCCCTCCCTCCTTCCTTCTTATGGGAAAATTGTCATGAAAAAGAACATTTGGGAGAGATTTATGTAACGGGAGAAAAAAAAAACCAAGGAAATTTGCATTTAAACTGCTTTCTTGGGGATTTTCTAAATATACAGTGCTTTCATCATTTCTAAAAAAAAAAAAAATTCCCACTTTGTCATTATGAGGCACTGAGTGTAGACTAATCAGGAAAAAAAATGGATCAGCCGTAGAACCAGGCTGCAGCGTAACAAAATTGGCAAAAGCAAACGTTTGAAATTGGCAAAAAGTCTGAACGTTTTCTGAATGCACTGTATATACGTAGTAAAATGATTTGTCCAGCCACCTATCTCAGCCAAGGTGACTCTGGGCAATTTGTGGAAAATTCGGCCAAACGTAATGGAAAGAATACAAAAACACAATACATAAATCAAGAAGCAATAATAAAATGATAGCAGGCTGATCTGAGCGGTTCAGCAGCCACCTGCATGAGGACTCCCTTACTCTATTCTATTGCTATTCTACATTGTATTATGCTATTCTATTTTCAATTCTGTATTTTATTATTCTATTCTACTCTGCATTCTATTCTATTCCTATTCTGTGTTGTATTGTAATAATAATAATAAAGTTGGAAGGGACCTTGGAGATCTTCTAGTCCAGCCCCCTGCTCAAACAGGAAACCCTATATCGTTTCAGACAAATGGCTGTCCAGTCTCCTCTTAAAAACTTCCAGTGTTGGAGCATTCACAGCTTCTGGAATTCTATAACAGCTTATGCTATTCTATTTTCAATTCTATTCTGTATTTTATTATTCTATTCTACTCTGTATTATTCTATTGCTATTCTGTTGCCTTATGCTATTCAATTTTCTATTCTCTATTCTATTTCTATTGCTCTTCTATTCTACTCTACTCCTATTCTTTTCTATTCCATTCGATCCTATTCTATCCCGTTCCATCCCCTTCCTATTCTATTTCTGTTCTGTTCAAAATCAGATTGATTTAGGCATCCTCTGTCTTAAGAGCCCACGTAGAGGCGATTCTTTTACTGTTTGACTGACTGCAAAGGAAAAATCATCTCTTTCCAACCTACAGAAGGAAAATATGAGAGAAGCGTATGATTTTCCACCCCTCCTTTGCTCCCCCCCCACCACCCAGGACAGGCTCTCTGCAGCTCTTGAGGATGTCAGCCTGGATTAACTCTGCTGGCTCTTGTCTGCAGAGATGTTTATATGCTGTGGAAGCGCCAGCTTTTTAAACCAGCAAGGCAAACTAATCCTGTTTTATCTTTAAGCCCGTGTCTACTTTGCCAAATGCGATCAACGTTCCCTACAGGTGAGATCACGGGGTGCCATGGAGACGAGCGAGCAAAATAGCACCTTTTCGCCTCTCTCTTACGCTCACCGGACAAACCCAACTAGGATTAGCATGGAGGGTGAATCCAGGTTTATGTGGCTCAGCCAAAAAACCTTTGCTGTGGCTACGGCCAGGTTCCCATTGTGCGATTTACCCCTGCAGGGGAAAAAAAATAAATAAATAGCCCAAAACACAGGTTGTTTTGCAAACTGCAAATAAGCCTGCTGTAATGTGGGATATTTTGTTCTCCTTTCCATATAGGTACCCAAGCATCTTATCATTTTGATGGGTACCCATTTGGACTCTCAAAACAGAAAAAAAAAACAGAATAATAGGAAGGAACCTTGGAGGTCTTCTAGTCCACCCTCCTGCTCAACCATTCCAGACAGGTGGCTGTCCTGTTTCTTCTTAAAAACCT